AAGAAACTCTAATGCTATTAAATTTCCCATGTTGTGGTTTTTTGCATAACGGTATTGACATTACAAGCCGAGTGCTGTGAACTTTAAATTGACTTTGGACCAATAAACCTAAGCTTTTTTTGTTGGAGTGCAAGGCAACAGACACGAACGATCAAAAGGCCAGCAATAATGTTTGGTTCACACGATTCCGTTTAAAGAGGAATACAAGAGACAAACAAAAAAAGCAAGAAAATCCAATAGTTTTTTTCAAGCAATTGCCAGCCAACAAAAAGCTAAACTACCAATACTCACATAGAAGAAGAAAAACCAATTGAAATTAAAACAAAAAAAATATTTGCAAACCAAAAAAGAACCAACTTGCAAATTTTTGATTAAATTTGTTTCTTATAGAAACGTTAACATTTAAATAAAATCAATTAAATTATTTAAAAAAATCCATTAAAAATGAGTGACCAAGATACCACAATGTCCAACGCTCCCCCGAGTATACCACAAGCAGAGGAAATAATCGATCTTAGTCGTAGAGATTCTAAGGCACTTCAGGTAGCTGATGATCAATGGCCGGAAGGTGAGCGAGAAGTGTGTGAAGTTCGCAGTCAACATATAAAGAATGGGCACACGTTTGTGGTGACCACAGTGCGTACCGAAACCACTACCATGACCAGCACCGAAACTAGCATGGAAACGATTAAAAAACAGCAAGAAGAAGAAGAGAAGGATGAACTAAAAGCCATACCCATAGGGATAGAAGAAAATCTTCCCTCAATAAAAAATATGGAAGAGGAACAACCATGTTGTAGCAACAGCAGTTCCTGTTCATCACCGGAACACACAAATAAAGCCATTGTACCTCTATCCTCCTCACTGCCTTCGAAGCTTTTGCGCTTCCATGCCAAACGTTCTGCGCAGGCTTTACTACATCAAGTCGATTCACAAAATCAATCAATGGACTCACAATTTGGCAGTGATGAAGGTATGCCACCAGGAAGTGGCACTGGCAATACTAGTGATGATGATAGCTGCCACGAGAGTATGGGAGCCTCAGCTCCACCCATGTCTCCACCACCACCACGCAATTCACCCTCCGAAAATGGTGATGAAAAAATTGATGTTGGTATGGGCTCCTCAATTGAGGGTTCCGAAGAATCCGAGGAGGATGATGAACTCAAACCCTTGGCTGTGGATAATCATGTTTTACATGACATCGATTTGACATCGTCGCCAACACGTAATTCGCCACTAAGTCCCGTGGCAGATACCAGTTTAACCAGCAGCACCGGCACAACTACCACTGCAGTATTAAGTGAGGCTAATTTAGAAAAATTCCGCAAAAATCAAACCGGATCTCATACACATCATCCGCACATGGATAATATCTATTTACATCCGAATTTCAAATATGATATTGCAGCAGAACCGAATGCCACTGTAGTCAACACCACCGAACAAAAACGTGTTCATCGTTCCTTTTTGACCATGAAAAAACCTGAGCCGGAACCGGCAAATTCTGTTGTGTCCCAGGCCACCACAGTTTCCATGGACAACAATAAACCTTTGGTCAATGAAATTGATACCTTGGATCCGGCACTAATTCCCAGTGATGAGCTGGCTAGTGAAATTGCCGAAGCTGTGGAATTTTATTTCTCCAATGAATCCATACTCAAGGATGCCTTCCTGCTAAAACATGTCAAACGCAACAAGGAGGGTTTTGTAAGCCTTAAATTGGTGTCGAGCTTCAAACGGGTACGCCAACTGACCAAGGAATGGAAAGTTGTGGGTAACGCCGTTCGACGCAAATCTACTAAAATCGAATTAAATGATTTGGGCACCAAGGTAAGGCGTATTGATCCCTTGCCCAATTTCGATGAAACCATGCCCTCACGTACCATTGTGGTGTGTGATCTGCCTTTGGATAAACTGACCATTGAAAAGGTTTCTGATCTCTTTTCGAAGTGTGGTGAAATTGCCCTGATACGTATTCTAAAACCTGGCATGGCCATACCCGTAGATGTGCGACAATTTATGAATAAATATCCGGAAATGCAACAAAAGGAGTGTGCTCTCGTGGAATATTTGGAATCTGCCTCGGCACGTGAGGCTCGTAATTTACAGGGTCCCTTTAAGGTTTACGAAATGGTTGCACCGAAAAAGAAAACCGGCAAGAAGGCAGTAATTCAGGTCACTGCTCCCGTTGTACGAATGGTGGAGAATTATCGCTACTTTAATGATCACAACTATGAACGTACGCGAGGCGGTAGCTTCAGTGGTGCCACTGTGGCTCATGATTTTGATTTGCGTTATCGTTTGAAACGCAACAATTCCGACTTCTCAGCCAAGACATATCCTACGGAAGTACCAAATGCCTATGTTGCTAATGGCGGACATCAGCAGTTCCATGGACATGCTCCAGCCTACAATGGAGCACATCGTGGTAGCTTTGCTGCCAGTGAACCACAACATCAGAATATGAGTAGTTCTGCAGCTCCGGCGACGACTGGACATCATCACAGTTACCATTATCAACCTAGGGGAAGTATAAGCCAAGAATCTGGACCACAAAGTCCTATTTCACCGGGAACCAATCCCAATTACTTTGCCTATAATCCTAGGCGTTATAGTAATACCTCTACAATATCGGCAAATACTGCAGCTAATATGAATACGACAATGGTGGATCAAAACAAACCAATTCATCATCAACACCATCACAGCTCAAGTGGTTTGGTCAACAGTGGTTCGGGATCGAATTTACAAAGACGTCTCTCCAATTGCTCGCAAGAAGGTGGCGGCGGTTATGCCGATATGGTAAGACGCACATCAAACTGTTCCGATAATGCACCACAGAGGCGAGATTCAAATTGTTCCGACAATTGTCCTTGCTCAAGACGTGTCTCAGATTTTGGACAAAATACCGAGGTCTATCGCAAGTCTTCTTTGGGTTCAGTGGGTAGCAACAGTGAAAGACGTTTCTCCAATGGTTCGATGCAATTCGAGAGAACCTTTTCGAATGCCAGTGACATCAATAATGTCAGGAGCAACGAGAACAGCTATCATCGTCGTATGTCCAACGATTTCAATTTGGATCGTAAACAGTCATTGGACACACAACCTGGAACACCCTATGAAGATCCCAATGTTGGTGGAGGTGGCGGTGGGTATAATGTCTTCCCCAGACGTTATTCGAACAACTTTAACAATATCAGCAGTAAATTGGCTCAATACGATAATGCTCAATATATTGGAGGACGTCGTATATCCACCGATTCTGGTTACGATCGTCGTTGTTCATTTGGTTCGGAATATGAAGGTTCGCCACGATCACGTACCGGTAGTTTTTTGAATAGCTACAAACATGGACAGAATGATTATGATGGTCAACCGAGATCACGTACCGGCAGTTTTATTGATGGTTCACCGCGATCCCGTTCGGGATCATTTGCTACCCGTGCAGCCGAACATTTGGTACGTACACCCATGGGTCCTGATGGTAGTAAAGGTTTTGGTTTTCGGGCACGTAAACTGGAGCAGACAATTGGACCGGTCTAAAGCGAGGGAATTGGTTCTAAGGGGATAATTTTCTTTCTACACCTTTGCGCTAAGAATAAAATGGTAAGAAGAATATTTTTGTTTTGAAATGTGTTGAAAAATACATAATATTTTTTTTGTTTGTTTGATTGCAACGAAAGTGTTCATGTTCAAGTATGTATGTAGTATTGTTTCCTTTTTGAAATATTAAGCAGGATAATTTAAATGTAAGAAGAGAATTTAATATGATGTAAGAGAAAAAATGTCAATGGCTGTAAAAATCCTCTAAAAAACCCTCTGCCAATTCTCGTAGGTTTTTAATTGCTGATATACATATGTATTTTTTGATTACGGGTTTTAAAACCACATAAGTTTGTTATAATTATTATATTTTTCGAATTCTTTTTTTTTGAGTTGTGGGAAAATTGCAGTATTTTAGGTTATAGTTTTTAAGAATTTATTGTTTTTTATGTTTTAGCTTAAACAAACAACAACGCAATTGGCAAATATATAGACAATAAATTGAGGTATGAAGTTGATTTGAAAATAAATGACAGGATATTGAATGATTATTTTGGAGAAGGTTTTAGGAGTGCGAAATTTTAAATCGATTGGTAATGAATGTGCAAAAATCATAGTAATTTTTAGAAATTCTCAGGTATTAGTTTTTAAATCAAATATACATTGAAATTGGTTTTTTATTTTTTGCCGATTCTGGCACAATGAAATTTTGAAATAAAGGAAAAAACAAATTTCGATTTTCTAACAAGTCTCAAAAGAAGAATTTATTTTTTATTTATATATTTAATAATATAATATAATTAGGAATTAGGTATTTTTTTCGTATAGTAATATCGATTTTTAATTTGTAATAGAATCTAGAATATATTTTCAATATAAATATAAAAGGTTGGGAGATAACTGAAATATATTCATGCAAAACATGTTTCATACAGAATTTGAATTTCACCTGGAAACATTGATTGTACACATAAGTCGCCAAGCAAATGTCACTGTAAAGATTTTTCAATAAAGTCACCCATCTAGCAAAAGTCAGCTGTTAATTCTTAAGTCTAATGTCAAATATGTTGACTTTCTTTACGTTTTCATCATGACACAATGAATAGGTAGTCCATTTAGCGCAGCTGATGTCTCGTTTAACTGTCAAAGTGGGTAATTTCTACTTGAATTCAATGTGCAGTGTTGCCAACCATTTGAAATGGTGTAAGAAAAATTTTGACAGATAATCGAGACAAAAACAAAGGTTTTTGTTTTGATACATAACCTTATTATTGAATCATGGTTTTCATAATGGAAGTCAATTCACAATAATGGATTTTGACAGCAAACTTGTGAATCAATGGACGAACCACTATGACAGGAAGCCAATTATAATTCCTTAGCTACATAAGGGAATGCATTTCTGGAGGAACTGAATTGAAATAATTGTAGCCAGGGTGAAGACAGATAGGTCTCCTGTGGTAAAGGAGACCCCCTAGATATACCGAAGACATGGATTTCACTCATGGCACAATAAATAGATAGTCCATTTAGCTCAAAGTGCGTAGTTTCTAATTGAATTCGATGTGCAATGTTGCCAACCATGTGAAATATTATAGGAAAAAGTTGACAGATGGTCAGGACAAAAACCAATTTTTTTGCTTTGTTTATTATTACATCATGAATTTCACTATAGTTGAATCTAGGCCAGCATAATCTATATAGCGAGGACAAAGAATGTAGTCTTTCATAGATGAGTATTTTGTCTTGGCTCGTAAAATTTAGGGCTATATAAGTCGACAACCGATAAGCCCATACATATTTTTGACATTTAGCTTGAGAATGAACAGCGTTTGGTATGCATCATGGCACAATAAATAGGTAGTCCATTTAGCATGGCTGGATATACGATTAAGTGTTAAAGTGCATGCAATGTTGCCAACCATGAAAAAAAAAAGTATTAGATAAAATTTGACAGATAGTCGAATAAAAACCGGATGTTTTTCTGTTGATAGATCACGTTATTATTGCATCATGGATGAGTTGTTTATCTTGGCTAGTAAAAAATAGGGATATATAAGCAGACAACCGTTTAACACATTAACTGCCGTCTTATACTAAAGGTTAGACTTCAATACTGGCCAATTTTGAAACCCAGAAAAATATTGCCTTATTTTGTAAAAAAAAATTGGTCGAATCGGAAAAAAATGGTTTCATTTGGGCTCCAAAACCGCTTTGTATGTGTTTCGTAGGCGGTCATTTGTTACAAAATAATGCAATGTCTTAAGAGAGAAGATAGAGATGTAATTTTTCATTGTGTACAACTTGGTAATTCTTGGTAATTAAATGAACTTCATTTTCTAATGGGAAAAATAGAGATACGTAGGTCGGCCATATATTGTGACTCCATATCCCAATAGTGCAACTATTTTGAATAGTCAATGAAATTAATAGAATTTATGCTCGAATTTAGTTCTGACGAAAAAGAATATTGTCCGTAACAGGGACGTACGCAGGGGGGCGGCCTGGGGGGCCCGGGCCCCCCCGAAATGATTTTTTTCACAGTAAATTTGTGTTTGCAACAGCGAATTTTTTCATTTTGTACTATAATATATTATATTCAATTGGTTAATAAATAATTGGCTGAAAAAATTAATGGGTCATATTTTATGTTAACAAATTAAAAAAAAAATCTATCCAATTAAAAAATAAATATTTTAAATCGGAAATTTAAAAGATTTTACTTTACTTAAACATTAAATAAAATGAACTACAAGAATTTACATAGGGCCAAAATCTAATAATTTTTGGCCATAAAAATTATCTGACAATTAAATAAAAACCCACCACTTGAGATGGGACCAAGGGTATAAACAATATGCCTAGATGTATTATGATTAAAAATAGCAATGACGAATAAATAATAAAATAAACGAAAAATAAACATTTTCAAAGATATGGTTAAGATTGTCTCGAAAGAGAAGTAAATATAAAAATACATTTATTATTTTTATAAAAAATTTTTATTAGTTTTCATAATTTTACTTTATAAACGACATATTTATATTAAAAACGACAATTGTATTTTTTAAAGATTCTCGACATAAATAATACAAATAATAATTAGTTTAAGATTGAAAATACTGCAAAATTTCCCACAACATAAAATATATTCATATTTTTCATAGGTTTTATTGTTAACATAATGAGTAATAAAATGTTTTCTTTTTTTAATTAGGATCTATTAACAATAAAATAATTGTGAAAAATAATAAATATTAGAATTAATAACATTTTAAAATTATTATTATTATCAGATATAATTTAATTTTACATAAAAAAATTGTTAAATTAAAACAAACGAAACATGAAAAACTTCAACTCAAATTTCCAAGAAGATAACACATAATAATGAAAAAAATTGGCATTGAATTTGTACTTAATTGGAAATTTATTTCAAAAAAGAAAATAAAATAATCGGAGTTCTTATCATTTTTTTCAACGGAAACCATCAAAAATTCTGTGGGTTTTAAAAAAATTAGTAAATTATTTTTTCACAGTACAAATCAAATTGGTAACACAATTCCTTAAGGTATAAAATGTATATGTAATAGTATATATAAAAATATTCATATACAATGCCATAACATGAATTTATAAATCAATTATAAAATATATATATTTTTTAAATACTATTAAAACTACTACGTGGGGTGTTATTTTTGAAAAGGTTAATATTTTTAAATTTAAAGTGCAAATTACAAGTTACCATTTGTTAAAATATATATATATATATATATATATTTTTTAATATATTGCATAAAATTGAGGCAATAATATATAGTTGTATACAATTTTACAAATTTTTTTTATTGGCTTAAAGTTCCATGTTTTCTCATAATTTCCCCCAAAAAATCCTTTCCCCAATTCCCAAAAAATATTCCATTACATTCCATTGTTCCTTTCCCAAATCCCAAACCATATTCCCATACAATCCAATATTCTACCACCATCCTATATCCCTTCCCAATTCCATATACCTTAAAATCCCTACACCATGATTATATGGAACCTAAATTAAAAAATGTATAAAAATTAGCTCAAACTGCCATGAATATATAATACATATAAACATCAAATTGAAATCATTCCATAATCACAGAATTTTGAAAAATGTAATCAGAAATTTCTTGAACTATTTTCTGCAAAATAAAAAAATATATTTATTAACTTTTTTTAAAAATAACACCCTTCCATCTACTCTCTTTCTAGCTATCTTAGTTTGTGTTCATTGTTTTAATATTTTTTTTCAAATATGATTCTAAGGTGCCAATTTATAATAATGCTAATATTTTATATTATAAAATCTTTGTTATTTTATTCTTATACATATTTAATTAGTATATCTTATTAGTTTTATTTAATTATATTTAATGCTTAACTATTTCTCATAAACATATATAATATATTTATTTTGTTTTTTTTCTTGTTTTATCTTAAAGTTTGAATAGTTTTTAATTATTTTTAGGATTTACGATATATATACAAATGTTAGTAATATAAATTAGTATAAATATTATAATAAAAACAATAAATAAATATTTTTCTATACAAAATTATTTGTTTTCATTAGTAATGGTGAACGGGTAAGTTTAAAAGCGAAGCAATGTTGATAGAATTTGCCAAGGCTCCTACTCTTTTTGGGTACCAAATGTTTCCACTACAAATTAAATTTACGGTATTTTGGGGGTGTTTTTTAGCGCATTTTAAACCGAATTCGCTGAAATTTGATACAATGGGTTCTTATTGGGTACCAAATTTTTTCACTTAAAATTATAAATATAGGCCCATTTTTCGGGTAGCCCCCATATAAGACACCCACAATTTGCGGTATTTTGGGGTTCTTCAACCGAATTCGCTGTAATTTGGTATGTTCCCTATATTTTCATTTCAAGTATCGGTCAGTATACATATGGTGGAGGGTATCCAAAGTTCGACCAGGCCGAATTTAACGCTTTTTC